CAGGAGCGGCCACTGCACTCCAACCTGGGCGACAGAGTGAGACTCCAACTCAAAAAAAAATTTTTTTAATTAAAAAAAAAGCAGAAATCCACTCCTGATTTCTGACCTTCTAGACCCAGGAAGGGCCCTGAAAACCAGTGTGAGCATGTGTAGACCAGGCTAGGGGAGAGGGAGGCCCTCTGCACATGTCATTTTTCTCATGATCTGGACTCACAAAGACAAGAATTGGAGTTAATATGCAGCGAACTGGGAGCAGTGGCTCACACCTGTCATCCCAGCACTTTGTGAGGCGGAAGGGAGAGGACTGCCTGAGCTTGCAGGTTCGAGACCAGCCTGGGCAACATGGCGAGACCTCGTCTCTACAATAAATCAAAAAATTAGCTGGGCATGGTGGCACATGCCTGTAGTTCCAGCTTCTTGGAGGCTGAGGCAGAAAGATCACCTGAGCCCAGCAGGTTGAGGCTAACAGTGGCTGTGAGCCGCATGCCACTGCACTCCAGCCTTTTGACAGATTGAGACTCTGACTCAAAAAAAACCAAAACAAAACAAAACAAAAAACATGCAGCAAATGCTCACTGGGTGCCAGGCATGTACAGCACTTCCTGAATGCTTTCTTTATACGTTTCAGCAGCTCATTTAACCTCACCATGACCTTGTGAAGTAGGCACTGCTTTAGATCAATTCAAAGGTGGACATTCAATTACATCTGAGTCCCTGAAACGGAGATGTGTTAGCCAGGCAGTGGCCACAGTTTGCTTGTCTTTTCTCATCTTCCAGGAAGATCAAGAAGCTTCCAGAATCAGAGTCTCACCACTCGGGGAATATAGCACTGTCCTCATTTTATTTTATGTATGTAAGTTTGTATTTAGAGTCAGGGTCTCTCTCTGTTGCCCAGATTGGAGTGCAGTGGTCCGATCACTGCTCACTGCAGCCTTGACCTCCTGGGCTCAGGCAATGGCAATCCTTCCACCTCAGCCTCCCGAGTAGCTGGGACTACAGGCACGTACCATCATGCCCAGTTAATTTATTTTCTGCAGAGATAAGGTCTCACTATGTTGCCCAGGCTGGTCTTGAACTTCTGGACTCAAGCGATCCTCCCACTTTGGCCTCTCAGAGCGCTGAGGTTATAGCCATGAACCACCACACCTAGCTGTCCTCATTTTATAGACGAGTAAACGGAGGCACAAAGAGGGTAAGTCACTTGCCCAAAGTCACACAGCCAGGGAACGGTTGATGCTGGATCTGAATGCAGGCCATCTGACTCCAGGGAGTGGATGGAGGGTCCCCCCCAGTCCCAGACATGCCCTGCCTGCCTCTGACCGACTCTCAAACCCCACGCCCCCAGCGCCCTCTCCCACCACCTACCACATGATCCAGGACACCAGCACCATGGTGGCGTCATTGAAGGCATTGAAGAAATGGATGAGGAGCTCGCCCTCAGGCCCCAGCTTCCGCAAGGCCACACCAAAGACGATGGCGAACACCACCAAGCCCAGGATGTTCATGCCCTCCACCTCATGCCCCATGGCCACCTGGACAAGAAACAGATGGGGGAGGGAGGGACCCTCGGTCAGCCTGAAGTCCTGTCCCGGGAAGCAGAGACAGCCCTTGAGCCCCACGGTGCAGGTCCAGGGGAAATATACCTGACACCGAGTGAGCAGGGCTGGAATGGGGAGCTCAGGGGAGTGTGGGAACTGAGAGAGAGTGCCCGCTTTGGGAGTCAGGGAGGGTTTCCTGGAAGAAGCAGCATCTGAGACCTTGAGGCCAGGAGGGAAGTGGAAGGCCCCAGAGAGAGAGAAAGCAAAGTGTGCAACAGCTAAGAGACGAGCACAACTTGGGTATTCAAAGAAGGGGAAGCCCGCTGTGGCCAGAGTAAAATGAGCCGTGCAGAGAGTCGCTGGATGGAACTGGGCAGACGGGCGGGCAGGGCCTGGCCTCACAGGGACCCCTTGGTCATGGGCTGTGGCAAGGAGCCTGGACTTCCTCCAGAGGGCACTGGGGAACAGGGCAGGGCTCTGGGCCATGGAGAGGTGGGGGTCACATTTGTGCTTTGGAAACGCCCTACTGGTGGTATGAGCCTGTAGTCCCAGCTACTCAGGAGGCTGAGGCAGTGAGCTATGATTGCGCCACTGCACTCCAGCCTGGGTGACAGAATAAGATCCTGTCTCTACAAAAAAAGAGGCTGGGTGCCATGGCTCATGACTGTATTCCCAGCACTTTTCAAGAAGTGAAGGTGAAGGGATTGCAAGCCCAGGGGTTCAAGACCAGCCTGGGCAACTTGGCAAGACCTCATCCCCACAGTAAATTAAAAAATTAGCCAGGCCAGGCACGGTGGCTCGGCCTGTAATCCCAGCATTTTGGAAGGTCGAGGTGAGAGGATTGCCTGAGCCCAGGGGTTCGAGACCAGCCTGGGCAACTTGGTGAGATCTCGTCTCTACAATAAATCACAAA